GACTTCAGTTTCTTTAGAGGCTCATACAGATATATAAGAGTGTTTAATTTTGCTTGTTATAGAGAATGCAAAAGCTTCCTTGAATAAGATCATGTGAATGAATTCTTGTTTGGAGATAAAAAAAAACAACCTGAATTTATGATACAATAAGTATTCATTAAAATTTCAAACATAACCAGTATACTGATCAATATAAATTATTGTAAACTTAAATAACTCTTGAAGAACTTGGTATTGCTTTGTTTGAACAGTTGAATAGTGTAAATAAAATCTTGAATTAAGAAACGATAACTTTTATATTATACTGTACATCCGTATCTCAAGATTTATTCCTGGACAGCTGTATTATACGACAATAGGTGCTATTACATCACTATAAGGTTTTCTGATAAAAACAGTACTGTTTGCAGATTTTGGTATTAATTATCGGCATTTTCTTTTGTTCAGTTTTTTTTACCTTTTTGTTTGTAAAAGGTATCACAGTTTAAAATCTTCGGTAAATGGTTAGATAATGCCTGGTAAAGATAGCGTTTTTGTTTGCTGGTATTTAAACGGCATTGTCAGGTGGAAGATACATTGTTATTTATAGTTCATTTGATATTTTAAATGGCATTGATACATTTTTTTGTTTGTAAAAAAGTACATTGTCATCTAGTTAAGTAAAAAAATCTCCAAACTGCATTCATTAAAATGCAAGGGTTGAAAATATTTACAATCATGTTTTTCTAAATATATATTATTAATTTATTATTAATAAAACAATAATAATGATCATTAGATATAATGTAGAACTTTTTTTCTCAACACTCTACTCGCATATGCTTTTATAATAATTAAGTCCTACATACTCATTTTACAGTTCTACTCATGTGATCTTACAGTCTTACTCATGTGATTTTACAGTCTTACTCATGTGATTTTACAGTCTTACTCATGTGATTGTACAGTCTTACTCATGTGATTTTACAGTCTTACTCATGTAATTTTACAGTCTTACTCATGTAATTTTACAGTTCTACTCATGTGATCTTACAGTCTTACTCATGTGATTTTACAGTCTTACTCATGTGATTTTATAATCTTACTCATGTGATTTTACAGTTCTACTCATATGATCTTACAGTCTTACTCATGTGATCTTACAGTCTTACTCATGTGATTTTACAGTCTTACTCATGTGATTTTACAGTCTTACTCATGTAATTTTACAGTTCTACTGGCATGTGATCTTACAGTCTTACTCCTGTAATTTTACAGTCTTACTCATGTGATTTTAGTCTTACTCATGTAATTTTACAGTCTTACTCATGTAATTTTTCAGTTCTACTCATATGATCTTACAGTCTTACTAATGTGATTTTACAGTCTTACTCATGTGATTTTACAGTCTTACTCATGTGATTTTACAGTCTTACTCATGTGATTTTAGTCTTACTCATGTAATTTTACAGTTCTGCTCTTGTGACTTTACATTTATATCCATGTGATTTTACCGTCATACTCATGTGAAGTTACAGTCCTAGTCATGTGATTTTACAGACCTGCTCATGTGATTTTACAATTCTGCTCAAATATTTATAATTTATAGCCCTATTAATGTGATTTTACAGTTTTACTCATGTTTTTTGGGGGGGTTCTTAAGGTACAACAACACAATTTGTCAAAACAATATTAATTGTGCATTTTAACAATACTTAAGTTTTTATGCCCCCGCCATGTAATGGCCGGGGCATATAGTGTTACCCTGTTCCGTCCTTCCGTCCTTCCGTCCTTCCGTCATTCCGTCATTCCGTCATTCCGTCATTCTGTCATTCCGTCATCATCAGTTTCCGTTCATTATCTTAGTAACGGTTGCACACATTCAACTCAAATTTGACATATGGATATGTCGTGAGAAAATACAGGTCAAGTTCGAATTTGGTCATGGTTTGATGATTTTTGGCAGAGTTATGCCCCTTTTACTTTAAAATAATATGAAATTTTCAGTTTCCGTTCATTATCTCCCCAATGTACAACACATTCACTCAAACTTGACATATGGATATGTCATGAGAAAATACAGGTCAAGTTCGAATTTGGTCATGGTTCGATGATTTTTGGCAGAGTTACGCCCCTTTTACTTTGAAAATAATATGAAATTTTCAGTTTCCGTTCATTATCTCCCCAACAGTACAACACATTCAACTCAAATTTGACATATGGATATGTCGTGAGAAAATACAGGTCAAGTTCAAAATTTGGTCATGGTTCAATGATTTTTGCAGAGTTATGCCCCTTTCACTTGGAAATAATATGAAATTTTCAGTTTCCAGTCATTATCTCCCCAATGGTACAACACTTTTAACTCAAACTTGACATATGGATACGTCACAGGAATGCGCAGGTCAAGTTCAAAGTTGGTTATGGTTCAATGATTTTTAGGCAGAGTTATGCCCCTTTCACTTTGAAAATAATATGAAATTTTCAGTTTCTGTTTATTATCTCCCCAATGGTACAAACACATTCAACTCAAATTTGGACATATGGATATATTTTGGAATGCCCAGGCCAAGTTGGAATTTGGTCATGGTTCAATGATTTTTGGCAGAGTAATGCCCCTTTCACTTTGAAAAAAATATGAAATTTACAGTTTCTGTTCATTATCTACCCAACTACTCAAATTTGACATATGGATATGTCCCAAAGGAATGGGCAGGTCAAGTTTGAATTTGGTCATGGTTGGATGACTTTTTTTTGGCAGAGTTATGTCCCTTTCACTTTGAAAATAATATAGATACTTCTTAGGAATAAGCAGTTTAAGTTTGAATTTGGTCGTGGTTCAATGATTTGGACAAACTTATCTTTCTTGAATGTTGTAAAAATTTTGAACTTTCAGTTTCAGCACTGAAATGTATTTAGCCATTATTTTGGCTACAAATATGAAATATGCTATTTCAAAAAGGTTTAGACTGAATAATTTCAGTGCCTTGAACATTGTATGAAAAATGGTTTGTGTTAACATTGAAAAAGTTTTAAGGGCTTTGAACTTAAAATGAAAAAAATTATTTGTGCAAACAAATTTGGAACTAAATATTATAACATCTGAAATTTTGGCTGCATGCGGGGGCATCCGTGGCATGATGACACATTTCTAGTTTATCTAAATATTATCCATGTGTCATTACGATTATGATGGACATAAATTTTTAACTTGATATCAAATCATCAAAGAACTGGAGTATCATTCTCTGAAGCTTTAATACACATCTCTTATACAACGTTACACAAAAATATATAAATTTCAAATTTCCGCTTATCATCTCCAGTATAGAGGCATTATTGAGTGGTCTTCCTAGTAAAGCATTTTTCGCTAGTTAACAGCAATGCATGGAGCATGTTCTGAGTATACCATACCTACTGGGACGCATTAATTTGTATATCGTAAGTCGATGGACCACAGTTTATATAGCAAATGAGATCAATATTAACTATCTATGTTCCTTTCTTAAACAAACAGCACTGAGCTTATATATACAATTTTCACTTATTGTGAAGTTCAAATTTACCCGTTTAGTGTCAATTAGACTTGTCCTGGAAAATTTGGAACAGTCCTATGTTTCAACAAGGGATTTTGATAACAAAATGATGTGGTCAGACTGCATAGAAGCAATAGGATGATCTGACCCTATACTGTTGCCATAGATAAGTCATTCCAACTGGCAGAAACTCCTTGATAATCTCTTGAAATTAGTTTTAAAAGAACTTACATTTATATTTCCTAAATACAAAAGAATAAAAGTGTGAGATTTTTTTTTAACCAATTGTAGATATTGTTCGACAGAATTTTTGTGATAGTTCTGTGAATATATTTATATTTTTTTTCATGAATTTCATTATACTTAAGTAAAACATTTATTAGATTAAGTTTATTAGATTGAGTTGGATAAAGATATTTATCACTGGCTAGTTGGTTGGGTGAATTATTAAAATAAATATAAAATAATCAAAATATATATTCAGTCCTGTCATGTCAAAAATGCCTCACTGGAGTCCCTTTAAAACAGCTTTTAAAACAGCTTTTAACCTTGAATGTATTATTTTTATAGAATGGAAATGCTACATGAAAAAAAAACATCAACAAAAAATCAACATATTTTACACTTTTGTTGTTACTAACCAGTAATCTCTTGAGTTTTGACATTCAACTAAATGTCAGTTTATCTAAATATAATATATAAATGTCTACTAGTATATTGAAATAAAATTCATATATACAATATATATAGCTATTGCAGTTTGAATGCAGTTAGTAGCCCTCCTTAGTAGGTCTGTATAAAGAATCCTTACCCTGTTGAAGCGTAGCTGGACATTGGCCTTACATTGGTTTTGTAGTCATAATATTGTCACCTTAGTGCAGTAAGGGGTTTAACTTCTTATATACTGTAATTTAAAAGAACTTTAAACCTCTTGCCTCTCACACTGTAGGGTTGAGCAGGTCAGAGCTACATGTGAGAAAGCTATCCATGCAGCTAGCTCACAGGAAGTCGATGGTTCTACTCAGGTGCTTGTTTGTGCCTGAAATAATGCACCGAGGGGCACCTGAGGTCTTCCTCCACCAGTAAACCTGGAAAGTTGGTACATGACTTATACAGTGTTGGTGCTTAAAACTGACAAACAAAAAACAATAAAAAAAACCCATAAAGCATTTCAAAATTATAGATACTGTGAAAGGTATAAAATTGGGTAAAAGTTACACAGATACTGTATAGGACATCATTTAAAGACTTTCAAGCTTACTGGTGAAAAAAGGCATTAGGAGCCCCGCTTAATGCATTATTTCAGGCACCTAGTGGACACCCGAAAAGAACCACCTTGTTGCATACAGTTCAAAGACTAAAATGTGAACAGAGAAATTTAACTGTTGTTTTCATTTCCATTTTCATAGCTTATGCTAAACATTCAGTTGAATTACAAAAAAAAAATCTTCACCAAACGTTGACCTAGTTTTGATATGTTTTCAGTTCCGGACCCTCGGGATCCACGTGCTGATTATCAAGAAATACCTATGAATCATCATGACCAGGATATTAAAGGTAAAACACCTTGAGTAGAAATACCTTAAATATAATCTAACATAATTGATTAACCAAGTAACTTCTTTCATTCATCTTTTTCACTTGCTTTTAATAACCATGACATTCTCCTATTATCACAATAACTCTTGCTGTTTAAGTTCTGTGTTTGATGTAACCAAAAGACAGACCTGACTGTACTCTTTTTGCAATAATAATATATCTTGGTCTTTATGCTTATGTGATTTTCCAATTATGTCAATAAGGAGAGCCTTATGGCAAAACATAGCCTTTATGAGTTATATATGTTGTTTCATTTAAAATATACTAAAAACAATATATTAAAATGTAATGTGAATATTTCATTTAGTCATGGGTTGATAAAAAATGGGGACAGTAAAGAGAGAAATTATCTTAAGAAAAGAGAGTGAACTCTTGTCAAAAGGGAGTTATCTCTTCAATAATTATGAGCTAATCATCTACTGTTAAAAAGAGAGTTCAATTCCTAGTTTTGAACAAAGGTCACTGTTGGGGTGACCACTTAAGAAATACAGCCATTAAAACATAGTTTTATTTACAGAGGTGTACGAATTTGATCAAAAGTGTTTTCATTGTCGTGTAATGAGATATAAAATGCAATGAAATTAAAACTAATTTCAGACTTGGACTATGTTGATAGATTGTAACTGATACTGGTAATATTTTACGCACCTGTTGTTTTCGTCCCCTCTCCCAGGTATTTGGCATCAGGTTCAATTTTTTGCCAAATTAGGTAGGACGTGTCCTTTTGTCCACCTGTATCACACTTGACAGCAAATTAGTATTTGAATTTATTTCAATTCATTAGGTGTCATTTACGAGGGTAAGTGACCACCGAAAGACCGTTCATAGGGTGAATGTACTTGTAACCTATGTAAAATAGGTATTTAATATGGAAGCAAGTGATTTGTTGTAAATTACTGACTAATTAGTCTAGGCAGTGCCAGAGGATACAAATGTAATTGGCTCTTTCAACATTTTTGTTGTTGCACATTGTCAGTTCGTAACGACAGATTTTTTCTTACTGTCGGTACTTGTTTCTCGAAACTTGCTAGATTTGATCAATCTGTGGTCAAAATTTCAACAAGTTTTCTATATTTGTAGATAGATTCGGTAGACCAATCTTTCAGTTCCGTCTTTAACTTACATATAATCTCTGCTCGTTATAACAGAAAATCAATGAATAATTTAGCGCTGCTAAATTAAGGTGAGATTCATGTAGCTACATTTTGAAAAATTGTTCTGATTCTTTCACTTTTATGGGGAAAATGTGTTTCCTAATTTTAACAGTATGAGCTACAAATTTATATCTTGATATCTTTCGAATTAATTATGGACAGTTAAAAAACTGAATCCGGACATGACTGTTTATGAAACACTGTAGAATTAGTTTAAATAATTTACATTCTATAGTTTGGAAAATCATCATTTTATATTTATAAAGATATTCATGTAAATACTAAGTGCCAAAGTATGTGAAGCTAAAGTAAATGTCAGTTCAAATTATATAAAATATACTGAAAATTGTCATCTGGAGTTTTATATGGAATTAAGAAAAAAACGTGAAATAGAAACCTCTGACTCATATGTGTTTGGTCCAAAAATCACCGTCATTTTTCTGTTCAAACTTGATTTAGAAGTGATATCGTAGCCTAACCCTAGACTAACCAGCTTTCGAGAATTTAATATTGGCTTACTTTGTCATACCATTTCTTCATTGAAAAATCATAGGCAGAAGTGAATGAATGTCAAAGTGAACAGTGATTGGAATATGAGGAGATTAGAGGTACTCTAGTGTCCAGTATAACTAAATCTCCAATTAATGTCCAGCATGAATTGTCTGGCCTCCTAAAGCCTACAAATCCTCTAGCCTGGACCTCTCCAGCCTATAACATGATCACAGTAAATATTTATAAATCTGATTTCATAAATCACATTATGTTGAAGGGCTTCTGTCATATTCCAGGGAAAACAATGTCTTGCAGTAGATGTCTAGAACGAATTGGAGAGTGCACTCTTTGGTTTTTTCGGGAGTCTCAAATAATAACCAATTGTCTACTGTATTAAAGAAAAGAAAATAAAAATAGTGTGTATTGTGGAATTATTTAATAATTACTTTGACAGGAAATTTTTTCTTTTGTTTTTTGTTTCTTTTGCTCTAAACTACAGTTTTATAGAGACATAATTTGATATTTTTTCATCATGGATGTTTTTTCTCTTCTTTTCTACATGAATACTTTAAAGTTTCAGATTTATGAAATGATGAAAAATTTAAGTATACAGAAGTAAATGGTACTATTAATGTTTTAAATTAATTGTTTAAAACTTTGTCTATGATATGAATATAAAAATATCATGAATTATACAAAAATATACACATAAAAAACATAAGTAAAAAAGAAGATGGGAAATTGGAAAAATTTAAAGAGGGTTGTAATTTCCTTGATTGTAGGCTCAACTTTTCGAAGAATATAGAGAGCTATTATACTCACCCTACTTTGGTTACATTTTTTTTCATATTCAGAATTACTGCCCTTTAAACAGAGTTATCTCTCTTTAAGAATTAAGCTTTTTTTTGTCTTTTACTTTGTTATTTATGTCTTTAGCTCGACTATTCGATAAGAATAAGTAGAGCTATTGTAGTCACCCGAGCGTCGGCGTAACCACTTATGTTAAAGTTTTTGTAATAGTTCAAATATTTTCAAAGTCCATTGACATATGGCTTTGAAACTTTGCACACTTGTTCACCATCATTACCCCAACCAGTAAAGAGGAGGAGGTAACTGTATCAAGCATTTTGACGGAATTATGCCCCTTTTTCGACTTAGAATTTACGTTAAAGTTTTTGCAATAGTTCAAATATTTTCAAAGTCCATTGACCTATGGATTTTAAACTTTGCACACTTGTTCACCATCATTACCTCAACTTGTAAACAGGAGGAGGTAACTGTATCAAGCATTTTGACAGAATTATGCCCCTTTTTCGACTTAGAATTTATGTTAAAGTTTTTGTAATACCTCAAATATTTTCAAAGTCCATTGACATATGGCTTTGAAACTTTGCACACTTGTTCACCATCATTACCCCAACTCGTAAACAGGAGGAGGTAACTGTATCAAGCATTTTTGACAGAATTATGCCCCTTTTTCGACTTAGAATTTATGTTAAAGTTTTTACAATAGTTTCAAATTTTTTTCAAAGTCCATTGACATATGGATTTTAAACTTTGCACACTTGTTCACCATCTGACCCCAACTTGTAAAACAGGAGGAGGTAACTGTATCAAGCATTTTGCACAGAATTATGCCCTTTTTCAACTTAGAATTTATGTTATTATGTTTTTGCTATTTATGATTTGTTTAAGATTATTATTAATTATTATGAACAAGTTAGTTGTTAACAATTTGGTAAAATATCAACCATAAACTATATAAAGAAAAGAAAATATGTTTTAGAAAATAGTATTAAAGATGAATTATGTCATCTTATGAAGTACATGTAACTAAGCATCCTTGTATGGAATATTTTATTTACATACATAGTAAAAGAAGAATTAATTACCCTTTTTAAGCAATAGTGAATTTGTTGCTAAAATTTTGTCAGACTAAAGTGAATTGGCAACATTTTTTTCCTCTGCAACTTCTTTTTTTGCACCATAAATGAAATGATGTAGACAATGCAAGAAGGAAAGACATTCATCATTAAAGTCTTTGATCTACAATACCCCAGCAGGTTTTGTTTCCATGTTTACTAATTATATGGTTTACTAATTATATGGCTGAAATTCAATTGTGCAAATATTTCAATATGTGTTCCACCGGTCCTTAACTTGGTTAATTTTATGCTCTTAATACATTATTTACAGTCCATTGTAACATTTTTATGCAGATCTGCAACATGTCACTAACTTGAGGTAATTAATCGGCATAACAAAATTGCCAGCCGGCTGTAAAACTAATATAACGTAGGATAGTCAGTTATGTTAATGGTATGCTACAAGTATAAAGCCAGGCCAGCCTTTACATCCATGCAATCATTGGCAAGACTGTTTTCCAAGGTGATGTTGAAAATCTTACTTCAGCATTTTTGATATCAAGATCCATGAAATAACAAATTTTGACCTGCTCCGTCGGCCAAGGAGAGCAAGTCTATTGCACAAAATTTGCACGGTAATATAGAAGAAAAAGTTACAAACCTTTAAAAACAAGAAAGTATATTATAATAATAGTTTGTTCTGCTTCGTAAATCATGATTATTTTTCTCTCTCTCTCTTTTTACAACAACACGGAAATCCTATTGTAATGTTCGTCTTCCTATTAATTTACCTAGTGTAATCAGAAGTTGATATTTCATGTATTTAATTATTCTTGCTAATATTCTAAAGATTTCAAGGCACATGTTGTAGATAGATTCCGACAGATGTTAATAGTTGTAGAGGAGATAAAGTCGTAATAACTTCATTATTTCCGCAGCCTCACAAAAATCTGCAAATTGCTAGATGCCGATTTTTACCTTTCAATACACCCTCATTATTCTCATGTTAGTGTACAAAAAATGCCTGAATTTGTTATAATTAAGTTTATTGTATTAGAGGATATAAAGTTAGGCTTTTGTTTTGAGAATGTATGAAAAGATTTTTGTAGAACATGCAATAAATGCAATGAACAATAAACACAATAGAACAATTCATTGTCCAGGAGTATGATATGTAATGGAAAACAAAACAGTCATTTCAGATAAAACTTAAATCATTCTTTGTATAAGTGTGATATGATTAATATGTCATTTATAAGACAGAAATAGGTCAAATGAGGGGTCAAATGTATGGGCAGGGGGAGTAAAAAAGATCAGATAAGCTAAAACAATAGAAATAGGTCAGATGGATTGGGTGGGTGGGAATAGATATACATTTGAGGAAAGTGGAAATAGGTCAGATTGGGGGAGGATAGAAATAAGTTATATAAAAGGAACGGTGGACATAGGTCAGATTTTGGAAGGATAGAAACAGGACAGATATACATGTAGGAAACAATAGTATGGGAGAAAGATAGAAATAAATTACATAGGGCACCAATAGAATGACGTAGGTCAAATAGGAGAAAAATATTAGGAAATAGGTCAAATTAGAGAAAAGGAGGACAAGAATAGGAGGACAATATTAGGAAGTAGGTCAAATAGTAGGACAATATTAGGAAATTGGTCAGATAGGAGGACAATATTAGGAAGTAGGTCAAATAGGAGGACAATATTAGGAAATTGGTCAGATAGGACAATATTAGGAAGTAGGTCAAATAGGAGGGCAATATTAGGAAATTTGTCAGATAGGAGGACAATATTAGGAAGTAGGTCAAATAGGAGGGCAATATTAGGAAGTAGGTCAAATAGGAGGACAATATTAGGAAATTATCGGATAGGAGGACAATATTAGGAAGTAGGTGAAATAGGAGGGCAATATTAGGAAGTAGGTCAAATAGGAGGGCAATATTAGGAAGTAGGTCAAATAGGAGGGCAATATTAGGAAATTGGTCAGATAGGAGGACAATATTAGGAAGTAGGTCAAATAGGAGGGCAATATTTTTTAGGAAATTGGTCAGATAAAGGTGCAAGAAAGATAAAGAAATGTCACATTTGGATGAAAGATAAAAAAGATCAGATATCATCTGAGAAAGAAGATTCAAATTATTGATGATAAAAGGAAAAAAAATGATAAAAATAGGTCAGACAGAGGGAAAAGGTTAGAATTAGGTCAAATAAGAGGTATATTAGATGAGGGAGAATTGTAGAAATAGGTCAATAAGTCATTAAACAAAAATCCTGCAACAGTTTGAAAAGAAGTTAATATTATGAATTTACCAGAATCAAATACATTATGTTTATTGGTAATTGTCAATAATTTGAGTTTCCATTTGACCTACATCCTTCAGACTTCATATGATGGTTTTCCTTGTTGAGTGAAACCAGAGGGGAGGCATGCCTTTTTGGTTACAGATCTATTAAGATCTTAAATTGTCATTGTTTTGTTCTGAGAGGATTGAAAATGATGGTGAGCACATTTTGTTGCTTGTAGAATCAGATAAAAGTTAACAGGACCCTTATATCTGAAGCATCTGAGGTGCTAATTTATTTACAACAGATCTGTTATCATAAGAGGTAGTTGTTACTTTAATGATTTTGCATATATCTAGGCGTGCATTCTCATTGAAATAGAGCAATAATTTGATTGCCAGGAATATCTAGATATTCTGTATTCTACAGAGACCTTTGATATTGGTTGAAGAAATTTTCATATTACTTTTTGTTGCCGTGTTTTAAGGGAAAATGAACTTTTAAAGATAGAAAAAAGCTCTGTTTGAGGTTGATAGTGGTACATAAAAATAAAAAATGTCGCTTGGGAACAAAATTTATTTTGTTTATCTTTATCTATTTTTTTCTTCATATTTTTTCAAAGTTCTATAAAATACAATTTCCTTGATTGACATAACCCAATTAAATATATGGAGGAAGAAGGAGAAAAAAGTTTGTTATCATTTCTGATTCTAGTCATCACTTGTTATCATCTCTGCTCCACGTTATCACTTATTATCACCTCTGATTTGAATTATCATCAAGATGAATGAAACTGTAGAATTATCAATTATTATCCTTACTCATAAAATGCTATCAAGGAATTGACTGAAATTTGAGAGAACTCGCAAAGTTTTTTAAAAAGATAAGTATGTTTGTCCCTATTACGAAACAGAAGCAAGACTGCATTTTGTGTTTATCATATTACAGCATGTATCTGCCCCATTACCTTGATGTTTTCACTAGAGAGATAAGGCTGATTTGTTTCTGATAACTGTAATTTAATTATCTTAATGTGCCTGATAAATTGCTACCATCAAAAATAGATTGTCTGAAGAAGAGATGGTTAAATTGTATGGTAACCTTTAAGGTGGTGGAAGAGGCAGGGGGGGGAGGGGGGAAAGAAGTATTGGGAGAGAGGGGCTTAGGATTTGACCTGTTTATAACTCTTGGGTAATATATTGTTAGAAATACCTTACATTTGAAATAGTATGTTACCTATATTCTGGTCCCAAGAGTTGGGTTTTTTTTAAGTCCTTGTGACCACCCCCATAACTAACAAATTGTTTCCTTCAACAGCTGAACCATTTTAAATTGACCTGCAATTATTGGAGAAGTAAGGGTATTTGATTACCGCAAAAAAATATGTTAGGTGAATTTTACATGTAACTTTAAATAGATCTGATTGACTGTGTTACATGATACTGTGTCTGTGGTTTCGAAAATGTGTTTAGACACCTGGAAGCAGTCTGCAAGGTTAGTTAGCTGAGGAATTCTGCAACAGATTAAGACTTTCTAAAAGAGATAAGATAACATGTATGATGTATGTGTATTAATGAGAAAGGCTACTTATGTCTCTCATTAATAATGATACCCACATGCTTTAACAAGCCATATCAACCAGTTAAAACCATATGGACCAGGGATATATTATTATCAACTAGTTAAAACATGGTTTCAGCAGGTCAAGGGTCAATCATTAGCAAAGTTGTTGCCAGGGTTGGTCACTTGATTTCAGGGAGAAAAAACATACATTTAAGCTGAGAATCCTGCTGATTTTCATCAACATCCAAAAGCTAATTTGTTGCTTAATTTCTGAATGAGTCTTCTATTGTCTCTATTGAAAGTCATAATTCTATGTTAATCCTAGCACTGAAAATATTGAAAGTTTGTAGAATGGAGGTGATAACGAAATTTCAGTTAGGCATGGAGTTTTAGTATGGTACTGTTTAAGATATTTTTTTCAGAATTTACATTTAATCATAAATCGAATCAAGTAGATAATTAATAAAGCAATCAACTGATTTTTTTTCAGAATTTACATTAAATCGTTAATTGGATCAAGTAGTTAATTTATAAAGCAATCAACTATCTCATATCATTAAGTGAGATAGTATTTCAGTACTCTAGTAGCAGTGATATAAATAGAATGATCATATCCAAGAGCCCATCGAACATCAGCGAAAAACTTGTATAACACAATTGTAAGACAGGTCACTATTGTTTATTATATAAGAAAATCATTTTTTTTTTACCACAATTTTTTTTTATCAATCATTCTTGTCTCATGCTAACCATTCCATGTTTCAGTGCCAGGCAACATTCATTCAGGAGTTTCAGGCAATGACAGCATTATGGCCACGGGGGTCTTCAGTGCTAGAGAATTAATGCGGGTCACACGACGTAAGTATCAGCATGGCCAAACATGGATGATTCCATTATAAATGCAATATTTATCTTTCAAACCTCGATTTTAATATTTTGGATCAGAAAATAACTTTTCATTAATTTATAAAAATAAAACAAACAAAAAAACATTTATGACCATTATTTAAGAAATGTTCAGCATTGGCCTTATAAGGTCATGTTACATAGTAAGGCTTCAGAAATATTTTTATGCTCCCCGAAAAATTTCGGGGGAGCATATAGTCGGCGCCTTGTCCGTCTGTCCGTCTGTCCGTCCGTCCGTCTGTCCGTCTGTCCGTCCGTTGTCTTGTCCGGAGCATAACTTGAAAACCCTTGGAGATAATTTGTTGAAACTTCATACAGTGGTAGAGGGCATCGAGGGGGAGTGCAGTGTCAAAGAACCATAACTCTATTTTGCCCGGTTTTTGAATTATCTCCCCTTATAGAAAAATCTTGTCCGGGGCATAACTCTAAAACTATAAGAGATATCAACATGAAACTTTGTAGGTGAATAGATCTCAATGGTAGATGTGCAGTGCATAAGAACAATAACTCTTTTCATCCTAATTTTGGAATTATTGCCCTTTGTTAATTTTAATACTTTGAACTTTGTCCGGAACATAACTTGAAAACCCTTGGAGATAATTTGTTGAAACTTCATACAGTGGTAGAGGGCATCGAGGGGGAGTGCAGTGTCAAAGAACCATAACTCTATTTTGCCCGGTTTTTGAATTATCTCCCCTTATAGAAAAATCTTGTCCGGGGCATAACTCTAAAACTATAAGAGATATCAACATGAAACTTTGTAGGTGAATAGATCTCAATGGGTAGATGTGCAGTGCATAAGAACAATAACTCTTTTCATCCTAATTTTGGAGTTATTGCCCTTTGTTAATTTTAATACTTTGAACTTTGTCCGGAACATAACTTGAAAACCCTTGGAGATAATTTGTTGAAACTTCATACAGTGGTAGAGGGCATCGAGGGGGAGTGCAGTGTCAAAGAACCATAACTCTATTTTGCCGGGTTTTTTAATTATTTCCCCTTATAGAAAAATCTTGTCCGGGGCATAACTCTAAAACTATAAGAGATATCAACATGAAACTTTGTAGGTGAATAGATCTCAATGCGTAGATGTGCAGTGCATAAGAACAATAACTCTTTTTGTCCTACTTTTGGAGTTATTGCCCTTTGTTTATTTTAATACTTTGAACTTGAACTTTGTCCGGAACATAACTTGAAAACCCTTGGAGATAATTTGTTTAAACTTCATACAGTGGTAGAGGGCTTGGAGGGGGAGTGCAGTGTTAAAGAACCATAACTCTATTTTGCCTGGTTTTTGAATTATCTCCCCTTATAGAAAAATCTTGTCCGGGGCATAACTCTAAAACTATAAGAGATATCAACATGAAACATTGTAGGTAGATAGATCTCATTGAGTAGAGGTGCAGTGCAAAAGAACCATAACTCTGTTAAGCCTTATTTTTGAATAATCTCCCCTTTTAGAAAAATCTTGTCCAGGACATAGCTGTAAAACTATAAGAGATATCAACATGAAACTTTGTAGGTAGATAAATCTCAATGGGTAGATGTGCAGTGCACAAGAATCATAACTCTACCTTGCCTAATTCTGGAGTTATTGCCCTTTGTTTATTTTTACTTTTTGAATTGTCCAGGACATAACTCGGAAATCATAAGAGATATCATCAAGAAACTTTGTAGGTTGATAGATCACATTGATTAGAAGTGCAGTGCAAAGAACTGTAACTCTGCCTTGCCTAATTTTGGAATTATTGCACTTTGAACTTTTTCCACGGACATAACTCTGAAACTACAAGAGGTGTACTTTCCTGTGTCCAAAACCTATTCGGGGAGCATCACCCGGCTCAAACCGGGCTCTTGTTTTACATAAATTGTCATAGTTGTATATGGTCGAGGTTTGATTTTGTATATATTGTCGAGCAATTTGCTATTCTTGTATTCTGCTTAATAGCTTATTCGCAGAATTTGGCCTATTTAAAATACAGGAATGGGGAAATTAACTGTCTTATATTCACTTTTGTACTTAAATTGTAAGTTTCGAGTTAATTATGGAATAGTAAGAAACACACATGCCCAATAATTACAACATTAATTCTATTAGTTTTGCATATTCTGAGACAAGTTTAAATAATCCAGAAAATTTCTTTAGAAGTTCGAGTAAAATTAATGGAACTGCCCTAGAATAAAGGAATCTTGATATTTTCAAGATGATATTTATATAAAATTAATTTCCTCTAAATAAATTATATATTTACCAATATATTAATCAGTTTTCAAAATTTCAAAAATTTCCTTTAAAAATGAAAAAAAGAAGAAGAGAAATTGAATATAAAAGTTATACATATGCATAAAAATGCCTTTCAAAAGAATGGTATATATTTTGGCAAGCAGATGCAATATAAAGTTGCGAGACATTACTGATAATGGTGATCGCATATATAGCACGTTGAAGTGTTTTGCATGCAGCCATATAATGGTGTCAGTGCCTAGGTCTGCTCCTAAGTCATCCTTCATTTGTATATATGTGTATTAAACTACATTATTTCATATCTAATATCTGTATCTTTGTCATTTGTTACAACTTTGTTTGGTTTGTTGATTTTTTTTCCTCGTTATTTTTTGTCTCGAATTCAAGAAATTATTTATTTATTAATTTTTTTATTATTTATTTATATATTTTTAAAAAAAATATATTTTTGTGCCCCTACATCTGTGAATTGTGCAGTATTTTTACTTTAACTCGAAACTTTTTTAAATATTGATACATTGTGGCATTTTCTGTATTTGATATCTTTTTTGCGGGAATTTTCCCCCATTTGCATGAATTTTAAAGGCAAATTTAGATGGGAAAATTATTTCTTATTTTGATATTTGCATGCATTTTAATTTTTACCATTTACATGAATTTTAGAGGCAAGTAATAGGGAAGGAAATTTATATGTACTATATAATTTTTGTTTAAAACTGCATGCATTTTTACTATTTACAAAATTTTTAAAGGCAATCTTAGGATGGAAATTATATACTAATATGCATGAATTTTTTCTTCTACTTATTAAATGCAAAGTGAGAGGTAAATTAATTTTGCATGATATTTACCTCTAATATGAAATATAAAAGGTTTGAAAGAGGGCAGAAAATTATATACATGTACATATATGAAGGTAAATGAATTTGCTTTATTAAAAGTAAATAGTTATTTACAGGAATTTTTATGATTCATTTTGAAGGGAAATTAAAGGGAAATAGTCACAGCAGTTTCTTATCCAAGTTCATTGAAAAAATCCGGCAGTTTATGGATAAAGGAGAACCATGCTGAAAATGAAAATGTTTTTGTATTATCTAAATGAAGTTAAAGGAGGCTTAATTGTTCACATCATTTCTTAACAATAACAATAACTAAAATTTCTTGACACTTTAAAGAACTCTGAATATTCCGTTTTTAACCATAAAAGAAAGCTTTATATTAATTGTTATATGAAATATATTTATGGGGACTGCTGAATATGGTAAAGTTCCTTTTTTATGTTAAAATAATTTCATTAGGGTTGAAGGCAGTCAATTTGTTAAATTGTTTTATCTTGTTGACCTGTGACATTCAGGTATGTTATATTTGGTGATCGTAGTCCAGTTGTTCTTTATGATAAGCCCACAGTGTATATTTACTTTTACGTCATACAATGTTAAAACATTACAGTAGTTTGATTATAAACACTACTGTAATTAAATAATTATGATTATCTATTTAGGTTAAATATAATTAACGTATATCTAAAATGATTATATTTATTTTTTTGCGGGGTTGTTTAAAATGATTTGAGCGGCATCACGACAAAACCAACATAGTGCATTTGCGACCAGCATGGATCCAGACCAGCCTGCGCATCCCCGCATTCTGATATGGATCCATGCTGTTCGCTTTCAGTTTCTCTACTTGTAATAGAGTTGGTAAGCGAACAGCATGGATCCTGATCAGACTGCGCTCATTTCTATATTTTGAAGGAACTTTACTTGTAAAAAAGACTAAAAACATATAATTTGAAATTCTTATATATATTTTTTTTAATTGGGTTTTATCGTCACACCGACACAATATAGGTCATATGGCGATGTTCCAGGTTAACTTTAGGAGGAAGACCTCAGGTGCCCCTCAATGCATTATTTCAGGCACGAACGGGCCCCTGAGTAGAACCACTGACTTTCCATAAGCTAGCTGGATAGCTTCCTAACATGAAAGAATTCAAAGTCCCTTTTGGGATTCGAACTCACAGTGGTGAGGGGCAAGTGGTTTGAAGTCAAAGACCTCAACCACTCGGCATGGATATAGATCAAGCGAAGAACTAAGCCGAAAAATCTGCAAGAGATAACAATTTATTATATATAGAAATAAATTGAATATTGATTTTTTTTTTTTGCATTTCTTAGCTTTGAGTGAATTCTTTGAGTGAAAAGCATCGCAACACCTTTTTTTTTAGCCATTTTGAAAAATAGAAATTATTATTCTGGAAATATTGGTGAGGGAATGATCTGAAAATTTGTACACAAGTTACTGGAAAAATATATCAAGTCCCAACATGGTGGAGTCGCTTTAAAATTTTAATAAAAGTAACATTGGGTGACACTGCTCAGTTTTTCATTTCGTGTTAGGGATCACATGCGTGTGACTAGAGATTATTAAATGCATATTTTAAATTGTATATTTATTTGAACAATGTAAATCAGAGGGTATTAAATTTAAAATAAAGTAAGTTGCACGGAAAGCCTTTCTCTGTTTTTTTTTCTTGGATTTTATTTTGAAAGAAAGTTTGTCATGTACTTCTGCATATCATTTTGAAATTTAATATTCATTGTATATGCATGTAATTAAATATAGTATGATAAGATGTATGGATAAAGGCATTGTATAAATTATTGAAAAAAATAAAAAAATTTCTAGGGGTTTAACTTGTACAGAATTTATTTCAGTGTGATTGTGTAGGCCTTTCAAATTCAACCTTTGAATATGTTTCTGGAACCAACCAGTACTATATAAAGAATTGAGTTTAAAGTTCCTTGTTAAAAAACCCAAAACATCTTGCCTCTGACAGAGCTTGAACCCGCCTGGGCAATTCTGAGATTTCTAGCTGTGAGCTAACCACTGGGACATGCTGCCTCATATTTATTGAGTTTTGTTAGCTTCTCTGTCATATTAAAGCACATTGAGATAAAAAGTTTTTGGAGTTTTCTTGAATTTAGGATTTTTACACACCTAAAAGTCTAATTTTTCTACACAAATATTTTTTTCTCTCACAAAATAGCTAATTAAAGGAACTTCAGGATATTGGTCAACTATTTTAATTGACCCATGTACAAGCTGATATTTAATTATGTTAAACAGTATCATTATGATTGTCCACGTACAATAAATGTTGTTATAAAGGTTCCTTTCCTTATACAGATTTTGCTGTCATTGTTACAAGAATAGTAGAGTTCTAATGGATTAGGCGGTGTATAGAATTGCAGTTTGTGTGTTTATCTTAATCATGTAGAAAATCCTGTAGACTTCTGTAATTTCTTTAATTCTGTTTCAATATCGTAGAAATTTGTTGAGAAATCTTGTTTATTTATCAAACTGCATTACTTGAAGCAAATTGAAGTATTCTTTAGAGAAAGAAAGAAAAACTAGCTGTGCAAGATTCTGATCAATTTTCATGTCATCATTTATCATATTAACATTCACTCCACTTCCACTAAATTTATAAAATGGACTTTCCCTAATGTTATGTTTGGAACTGTCCATTGTAAATTTAAGAGAGTTCTATATATATATATTTTTTTATCTGATTATTATTATTAATGAGAAAGAGGTTTTGATAATTTTTGCATTTTATCTTGTTGTTTGGTGTATACCTATAACTCCTAAAAATAGCAATAGATGAGTCCAAATTTAAAGCAGGGAAAGTCCATTAACCCATACCCCACTTGATTTCTTAAATGAACTTGTCCATATCTCAATTTAGACAAAACCGTTCATCAGTTTTAGGAAAAATTAAAAAAAGAATTGTCCTAGTGGCTGAAAGGTGAATAATACGGACCAATGATCAACTGGCAGAATGTACAGACTGATCTTGGTCTGCACTGGTCACAAACACTGGTCACAAACAGGCAAAAGGTTAATAAGATTAAGGACCATACTTTATAACCACTCTATTTTAGTTGGATGCTACATCTGCTGACAGATGAATATCTCGACAGATAGATATCTATTTCACTCATGTCTTCAAACTCGTTAAAAGAATTGTTCTTGTTTACTTTTAATCAGCATGTAAGAATTGACATAAATGTTGCATACAAAACTTCAGATGTTTGCATGACATGGTTATCAAAGCACTTTGCTGAAGTTTGACGTTTTAAGTTATTATTTATATATTATATTTATTTATATAAATCAAATACTGAAAATCTTTACTTATACTGCTATGCCATGACAATCATTGCAGCAAATATGTGATAATTAAATTTCACCAAAATCACTGTTCGGGCTTACGCTGCATCTGTTAATATTTTGTGATGTTGTTTCTTTTTTGTGCAGTGTTTAATGACTCACTAAAATATCCTCATTTTTATAAACCACATTATCTCATGTATCATTTGTCAAACCTCATTTTCATTTTAGACCCCTTAGACCCGTTAGACGGTGACCAAGACCAGTATGAGGAGGAAGCTAACGGTTTGTAAATTCCCTTCCTATCCTCTTCATTCTGTATCTTTTGTCTACGGAAGCTGAAAAGTGCCATCACATTTTATTGTTTGGTAGTGTGTCAACTGTCAGGACGCACAGACACTGTAGTAGAGGTCCTAATCCTGGCCTCTTGGCTAGTTCTGCCGACTAAGGAAGAATTTCTGAACCTTATTTTAAGAAAAACGTGCACCTGAATTAAATCCACTAAGCTTTGAATGCAGTTGATTATTTTCTTTACTTTCCTCTTTGTGATGAAAATCCACAGAGGTGATGAGAAATTGATCTGAAATCTGAGTGACATAGGCTCTTCAAGAACTGCATCTAATGCTTTTGTTTAAAATATTTATGTATTTAAGACAGAAAATTTCCTGGACTGAAAATTAAAATTTTATTGTAATACAAAATATTTACTGATGTGTAATGTTTTCTTATTTAAACATTTACCACACATTAAGTTAGTGCAGGTGAAAACGGTAGTGTGGAGTAATTATTAAAGATGTTTGTAATGTAGAACTTTTCAATCCTGCAATCAAAAATTTGTGATGGCACTTAAAAGATTCCAAACTTTGTCAATTTTGTGACATTAATTATACCCTCCTCAATATGTACGACCTCCATTAATCATCGTTCCATTTCATGCATCCAAACTTTCTTTTCTTTTTTTAATATCTACGTCTTCATTTTCATATTCCCTATCTATCTGTCGTATATTGTGTATTTATTTATTTTATTATCATTTTAATGCTATAATACAGGAACAAACATGCAAATTTGGGTCACAATTTTCCTTCATTTAATATTTAACCATAATCTCTCTTCTTTTGAGAAATTTAGCAGATTTATTGCAATTTAAGTGTGAAGCAAGGGCAATTCACAAAGATTTGGAATGACATTTAAAGTTATTGTTTGTTTAATATGAAATAATTATCATGGTTAGAGACTTTTCAGATTTTTCTCTTCACTGATTGTTTTTCACTTGTATATTTTCAGCATCTATTATGATGCCTCCAAATGGAACCCATCCGATGTTGCCACCACCAAAGATTGACAGCCCTAGTTACTATAACTACAGTCCCCATCCTCAGGACCCCAACCATCACATGGTTGCCATGACGGCGCACCACGGTGGCATGCCAAATGGTCAGTCCCAACTCAGTCCCTCAGGTAATCCTCACAAACGATTGAAACGTTCGACTATGAGCTCTATATCATCAGCGGACGAAGATCAAGAGAGCGTTGGTGATGATACGGAACAGATGTCAACGTACTACAAAGCCAGCGGGATGGCCGGTCAGCAGGGTTGGCAAGACCCAAACATGGATCCAGGTAAAACTTGTACACCAGTACATGCGTGTGCTACTTTTGAAGTGTTACTGCTTGCATATTATTTAATGTGTGTGCAAATCTTATAATATAACACGATTGCATGTATGGAAATTTAGCTACCATGAAAAATTCAAGTGAATTTTTTCGGGGGGAAACAAAATTTATGGGTGAGCATATACAGCAAATGTTGTTTTAAAGGATATAACTACTGTCATAAAACATTATCATTTTATAGCATGCAAAATTTTGTTAAGATTCCGTGTACTAGAAAGTACAAAGATGTAGATATGCATCGTAAATGTGAAGTAGTTTGTAACAACTTGTAGGCTTTATAGATATTCTTATAAAATACTGGAGGGTATTCTTAGATGTTTTATTTCCTATTTCTTGCGTCATTTGGAAATTAAAGGTAAACCGCAGTTTCTATTTTGTAGTGTTTTGACTTTTTCTAAAATGCTAACAGATGAGTTTGTAGCTACTTAATTTTCCTATATACCCTGATTATATCCTAGCACAAAGAATTTGGTCATGTTCGTCCTCTATTTATAGTTAGCAATTTTGATATATTTTACAATATGAAAATCAAGTTTCATATCATTCAATAATTACTTTCCTGTTATATTTGCATTAAAACAGAACAAATAATCGTACGGTTTCATTTTTCTGAAATAAAAAATCTACAGCAACTTAGACCATAAATTTGTATAATTTCATCATCTTTTTTCATTTATTGATTTTATACTTTTTCACATTTATAATCATAGTCAGCCTATGAATAGAACTTTGTGTAGGGCACATTGAGTAACATTTAAAATTCAAATAGTTGTTAACCAATTTCACAAAAGAACAGAATTTCTGTAAACTTTCATACATGCAAAATGAATAACTTGATGCCCTTTCTGTGGGTCCAGACAAAATACGTTATGTTTTGAGTTATGAAGTGACAATAGTTAGCATTAAGCATTGCGAATAAAAAATAGAATGTCAGTGTTTGATATTTTTAGGAGCTTTGTTTTAAGTGCATAGCTGAAAGTATGTGATTATATAATATTGTATGAAAAAAAAGATACAGTATCATATTTGGTACAGAATAATGTAAGATTAACATCTTAATTTCAGAATATTTGATATTTGACCATTGAGTCTTTTGGCAATAATTTAAATTATTATTGTTATGTATGGGAGGGCATTTGTCCTACACTCTTATGCAACAGTTTAAAGCAGTATTGATATAATGCCATGATTGTATATTGATGAAAAAGGAAATAGCCTTACTTAATACCATAACAGTTTGACATTGGTGGTAAGAAATATGTATTTTTTTAATCACAAATATGAATGATACTGGTACTATTAAAGCTTTATTACATGGTATATAACTTGTGACATAACATGTCTTTGAACTGATAAGCCCACAACAAAAACAACAAAAGAATGGTAGTTAGATAGCTTATATCAGACTGCAGAAAGAATTATTGATATCATTTTGTAATAGAGAATGATATTGCATAGTGTATTTATTATTGATATCACAATGATGTAATAAAAATGATATAGTACCGTACTGAACTGTTATTGCATTGTTCAAGCTAATATTAGAACACACATCATACTACAGACTTTATGATTGCTTATTATTCACCTGGATTGCTAATATTTCTTTTCCATCGCCTCATACATTAGGTCTTGTAACCGCACATTCATCTACGAAGCTGCATTCCCCTCATATCATACAAACATTGAAAACCAAATCTACTGGGGATGGTATAGGGTTTGCACCTGTTATTTCCCACCATGATGGCAGATCGGATCATGTAGCCACACCTCCCAGGCCTCTTAGTGACCATGTAGGCCAACCAGTGGAGTCCGGTCACGAGAGTGAAACCCCACCACATCATATAAGGGCCACAGGTGAATTTGACCTCATTTGTTTTTTCCTCCAATAGTAAAACTTAATGTAAACATGAATTTCATTGGTCTTCATTCAAAATGATGTCACAGCTGAACAATTTTGGAGACATTTAAAGATTTCTTTTTCTCTCACCTAGTATTTACAGCCATTTGCTTATAAATCAGTTTTCAAAAAAATTAAAACCCCTTTAAAAAAGGGGCATAAGAAAAAAAAGAATAAAAGGCAGAACTTCAAAATTGTAGTATTGTGGAGCATTTTTCATGAAGACCTCTCATTCACCTTCATTGTGCCTCATCATTTTTTATGTAAATATGTAAAATATTCTCAAAATATGTTTAATCAGTTGATATCATTGTTTTGTTGGAAGGTATATATTTGTTAAACAGTTGATTAAAGTCATTTTTTTTCATAAATTTACATTTGTATCGTATTATACATTTATTTCATGCTTCTCATACATTTATTTTATGTACTCATACATTCAATTTGTTTTGTTATACATTAATTCAATTTAATTGTATGTTCTTGCTAATATTACACATTTTATTCATGCTTTATTCATTTATTGCTGTTTTGTCCTTTCATAGTTCTGTAGATTTGTCGCATTTTCCTTCAGTTTCTCCAAGTAGATTAATTTATCAATCAATATCTTGACTTAAATATTTGGTTGGTAGATGCCTTGGATGGTCCTCTTACTTTTGGTTGGACTTGGGGACAATGGGGTCAAGGTCATCAGTGATACAAATAGAATTTTACACTTTTGCTTATACAGCCTATATATTTTGACAGATATCTGGTATGATATTTGGTAGGAATATACCTTGGATGGTTTGTCTAATTTTGGGTGTAGTTTGGGGTCACTCAGGTCAAGGTCACAATGCTAGATTTTTAATTCATTCTGCTTATAGAGCCTGTTTTTATAAGAGATGACTTTCATATTTGGTATAAACATTCATTTGATAATCTTTTTACAAAGTCAGGAGTTGGTCAAGGTAACCTGTGCTAAAACTAGATTTTTTACACTTTATTGTGCCCCCACTTTAGTGGCGGCATTTAGATTTACCCTTGTCCGTCCTTCCGTTCTCTTTTGTGTCGCAAGTAACTCAAAACGTATTTGACCTACAGTCATGAAACTTTATAGGAATGTTAATCAGCGTGTGTAGTTGTGCCCCTGGGTATTTTCGTGTGGATATTTTTAGTATTTTTAGAGTTATTGCCCTTGACTTAGTAAAATTTTGCAATTTTCAACTTGTGTCGCATGTAACTCAAAAAGGATTTGACCTAGAGTCATGAAACTTTACAGGAATATTGATCAGCATGTGTAGTTGTGCACCTGGGTATTTTCGTATGGATTTATTTAGTATTTTTAGAGTTATTGCCCTTGACTTAGAAATTTTTTGCAATTTTCAACTTGTGTCGCATGTAACTCAAAAAGGATTTGACATAGAGTCATTAAACCGTTGCTCAGCATATTTAGTTTTGCACCTGGGGTTTCGCTTGGGGATTTATCCAGTATTTGTAGAGTTATTTCCCTTGACTTAGTAAAAACTGTTTCATTATGTTGTTATTTGTTCCTTGAGTGCTTGAGTTAGAATCAACCAACTTTACAGGAATAATGATCAACATCACTAAATTACAGGAATAATGATTCACATCACTGTGAAGCTATGAACCTAGGACTTTGCAAGTGGATTTTTTTCAGTTTTGTTAGAGTTATTGCCCTTGAGTTACAGTAGTATAAATTTGCAATTTTCAACTTGTTCATGCATAGCTAAAAAAGTGTTTCACTTGTAGGCCTGAAAGTTTACAAGAATGTTGGTCATCATGTGTACTTATGCACCTTGGGGTTTGCTTGTGGATTTATTCAGTATTTGTAAAGTTCTTGCCCTTTACTTAGTAAAAGATTTTTAGTTTTCAAAAAATATTTGACCTAGAGTCGTAAGATTGACAGAACAGTGGCGCGTTGGGGGCACCCGTGTCCTATGGACACATTTCTAGTTTATTGATGAATGTCTTTTTGTTTTGGTAGGAACATGCCTTCTGTGGTTCTCAAACTTCTGTTGGAACTATGGGGACCATCAAATGCCTATTGTTTTTTTCCGCGTTTTTCATGCCCTCATACATAAAATTCATGTTGTCATGCATTATATCCTGAGTCCTGCTCATATACATTTATTTCATGTTCTTATGTGTTATTTCTTATTTTCATGCTGTTATACATTTATTCATGTTCTGAAACATTTGTTTCTTTATTTATGTTCTCATACATTTATTAGCTCGACTATTCGATAAGAATAAGTAGAGCTATTGTAGTCACCCGAGCGTCGGCGTCTGCGTCGGCGTAACCACTTATGTTAAAGTTTTTGTAATAGTTCAAATATTTTCAAAGTCCATTGACATATGGCTTTGAAACTTTGCACACTTGTTCACCATCATGACCCCAACCTGTAGACAGGAGGAGGTAACTCTATCAAGCATTTTGACAGAATTACGCCCCTTTTTCGACTTAGAATTTACGTGAAAGTTTTTGTATTAGTTCAACTATTTTCAAAGTCCATTGACATATGGCTTTGAAACTTTGCACACTTGTTCACCATCATGACCCCAACTTGTAGACAGGAGGAGGTAACTCTATCAAGCATTTTGACAAAATCATGCCCCTTTTTCGACTTAGAATTTACGTTAAAGTTTTTGTAATAGTTCAAATATTTTCAAAGTCCATTGACATATGGCTTTGAAACTTTGCACACTTGTTCACCATCATGACCCCAACCTGTAGACAGGAGGAGGTAACTCTACCAAGCATTTTGACAAAATCATGCCCCTTTTTCGACATAGAATTTACGTTAAAGTTTTTGTAATAGTTCAAATATTTTCAAAGTCCATTGACATATGGCTTTGAAACTTTGCACACTTGTTCATCATCATGACTCCAACCTGTAGACAGGAGGAGGTAACTCTACCAAGCATTTTGACAAAATCGTGCCCCTTTTTCGACTTAGAATTTACGTTAAAGTTTTTGTAATAGTTCAATTATATTTTTCGACTTAGAATTTATGTTAAAGTTTTTGTAATACCTTAAATATTTTCAAAGTTCATTGACATATGGCTTTGAAACTTTGCACACTTGTTCACCATCATTACCCCAACCTGTAAACAGGAGGAGGTAACTGTATCAAGTATTTTTTTTACTATCAAGCACTAAGAATAGTCGAGCGTTGCTGTCCTACCGACAGCTCTTGTTTACATGTTCTCATACATTTGTTTACATGTTCTCATAGATTTCTCATACATTTCTCATAAATTTCTCATACATTTGTTTACATGTTCTCATAGATTTGTTTACATGTTCTCATACATTTATTTACATGTTCTCATACATTTGTTCATCCATTCATCATATATAGAAATCTCAGACAGCGATGAGGAAGATAAGGATGTGGCAAGAAGTTCACGGCACGCATCTGTGATCAGTGCTAGTTTTCAGCCGATCTTCACCACTCTAGTTGGTACGATAAAAATCTTCATCATTCTTCACTTTTAGATGGTTGTGGTTCTTTATACTCGTATTTTATCCCTTCTCTATGTTTGCAGTAACACAGATTGTCCAAATATGAACACTTTAAAGTACTTAACCTTCACATCTGTGTCCCCAAATCTCATTTTGAACATTTTGGATTCTATTCAGTTAGCTTATGGCTTGATGGTAGTGCTGAGGTGCCTGCTTAACAAAGGGGCACTTGAGGTTAGCATTTGAGGTTCTTCCACCACCAATAATGATGGAAAGTCACCAAATGACCTTTACAGTGTTGGTGTGACCTAGAACCAACAAATAGCGCTGTTTAAATGCCAGGTCATAAATTGTATATACTTTTTACAATCCTTTCCCAGATTTTAATGAAACTTAGTTAGAAATATACCAGCTGAACGGCACACATTTTACATTACTTTTCTGGATTTTGATGAAACTTTGTAGGAAAGTACCAGCTGAACAGCACATATTTTACAAGGCTTTTCTTGTTTTTGATGAAATTTTATTGGAAAATACCAGATTTTGTTAGCTTTCTTCAACCCTATGTGATAAATTAGTGATAATTTAAGGACACTTTACAGATTGATTGACATGTTGGTTAAGGACTGATATTTCTCCCAATACTCATTGTGTACTCTTAAGGTTTGTTGAAGATTTTTTCACAGCCAAGGCTATCCAAACATGTCACCACATTTTGGTTTATTCCTGATAAAGGTTATATAAATTATAATACATATCTGTAAAATATGTTGATAACATACAAATTCTTTACAGTCATATTGATATTTCTTATCAAATTATTTGTATGTGGCACTATAAGTTTCTTTCCTTAAAATGTATTTATAAACAAATGTACATACATAACTGCAATTTAGATGATTAGTAATTGGATCTGTGTATAAGCTTGACAATTTAAAGAGTAGTGGGGCTATTCTACTTACTTTGAAGTAAAGCTCGAAAGTCAAAGTATGATTCTAATGGTGATGATTTAGACCCAAGCAAAATTAGTTGATGCAAAGGAAAAATGAATTTATTGGCAAGTCGTCACAATTCAATCAGGTTTTCTTACTATTTCAACGCCTCTCAAAATATAACATGTGCTGATTTAATCAACATGTTGTTGTTTAAATGCATTATTCACTCATGATGATGTTAAGAATTGCGATGGGGATACAGGCAACTATTTGTTTTCATTTGCTGTTTTTGTTAAAACATAAGACATGATTTGAGCCACATCATGACAAAACCAACATAGTGCGTTTGCATCCAGCATGGATCCAGACCAGCCTGAGCATGCGCGCAATCTGATCAGGATCCATGCTGTTAGCTATCAGTTTCTCTACTTGCTATAGGTTTGGTAAGCGAACAGCATGGATCCTGATCAGCAGGCTGGTCTGGATCCATGCTGGTGGCAAACCCATTATGTTGGTTTTGTCATGACGCGGCTCATTTGTGTTACTGCAATCCTCTCCACCTGCTTTATGGTGACATCCCATCTTCAGCTACTTCTCTTTTATTCCAGATGTTTTATAACGTGTTTCTACACAATTTGTTGTTTTTCAGGGATATATGCTGCTACGCTACAGTGTTTGAATATGAATAATGAATATGTAACAGAATAGAATGAGTGATATAATTGATCTCATCACACACACATTACTGTCATTTATGACATGCTATAATTAGAATAGATTTGACGCTATCATATCTGTAATAGAGTCTTAAGGAAAAAAATATTGTTTATTGTTGAACAAATTCAGAAGTATTTGTCCTTTTTTTGCTTATTTTGTAAAATGAAATATTAAAGAAATGCATTTTTTGTAGAAATGAAAATTTAAAGTTGTAGAGTATGTGTAATAATTTTCACTGTAAACAATTTTTCAAAAATAGAATAAATATTATTAGGTAAATAACAAAACCAAAACAAAAATCAGTAAATAAGACAAAAGACATGGGTAATAATATTGTCATATGGAACTACAATTCATACAATTTCAGGGAATTAATTGTACGATCAGTGATTGTTCTAGTAATAGGTGGTTGCATGCAATAAATTTTGCTTGGGCTTGATTAATTGGTGCTATGCAGTGTTTTTGCTTCCTCAGAATTAAGTTTTGTATGTCCTCTTTAATCCAGTTTTGAATGCAGCCACAGTAAATGGTTGCTGTAAGGAATTGTAAAAAACTCAGTTTTTGCAGTTACAATTTTGAGTCTATAATGCCTTAAGATGTAAAAAATTCTTTTTTTCAGAAAGAACTTACAAGTTACGTTGTTTTTTAAGACTCTCCATGTTTTTTTTTTATTGGTTGTATAGCATCGTTTTTTTATTCCTGTGCATTTTTCATCTACAACTATATTATCTTTTAGTTATTGTAACGCTCTTTTGTATTTGGCTAAACTTTTATTGAACCATTGGCAAACAAAATTTATTCTCATTTTCAAAACAATACTTTGATCAGTAAGCTTAAGAGCTAGGTCTCTAGACTAATGGGTAATAATATTGTCATATGGAACTAGAATTTATACAGTTTCAGGGAATTAATTGTAGGATCAGTGATAGTTCTAGTAATAGGTGGTTGCATGCAATAAATTTTGCTTGGGCTCGATTGATTGGTGCTATGCAGTGTTTTTGCTTCCTCAGAATTAAGTTTTATATGTTTTCTTTAATCCAGTTTTGAATGTTGTCCCTAAATGCAGCCACAGTAAATGGTTGCTTTAAGGAATTGTAAAAAAACTCAGTTTTTGCAGTAATGCCTTAAGATGTAAAAAATTCTTTTTTTCAGAAAGGACTTACAAGTTACGTTGTTTTTTAAGACTCTTCATGTTTTTTTTTTATTGGTTGTATAGCATCATTTTTTATTCCTGTGCATTTTTCATCTACAACTATATTATATTTTAGTTATTGTAACGCTCTTTTGTATTGGGCTAAACTTTTACCGAACCATTGGCAAACAAAATTTATTCTCATTTTCAAAACAATACTTTGAGTGATACGCTTAAGAGCTATGTCTCTATCTTATAAGGTCAAGGTTACACTTTAAGATAAAAGGTCTAATTTACTTCCGTTATGTTTGGCACCAGTGGTTTCGGGAGGGCATACATAGCCGAGTGGTAAAGGTCGTTGACTTCAAACCACTTGCCCTCACCAAAAAAGTTCATGTATTTGTCTTAATTCAATGTCAAAGGTCATTATCTGCTTTTTTGGGTCAAGGTCACATTTGGAGACAAAAAAAATAGGGTCATGGTCATAATTGTCATATCTACAGTTAAGTGTAGAACATGTGACTTGTGGCACCAAAACATCAGCCAAATAAAATGCACTCTATTAATCTTTCGTAGAGACAGATTGCAAAAGAAATTATTTTGTTCCAGAAATATTCAGTGTTTTTTTTTACAGTAAACCAATTTTATTTTATGAGGATTGTAGGCAAAATAAAAAAGCAGTTAAAACTTGACTGGGGGTAATAAACAGTTATATATTGCATGCTTATAAATGTCCCTGCTTTCATCCCTGGGGGTGAGGTTGTGGTCAATGTACTGCATTTTTAAGTGTTTTAAAACATATTAGCATAGATTGTGTCTTGTATGTACATGTACAATGTTATCTATTTTTATCATTCACAACATTTACGGTATTGTATATGTGAAATCTTAAATCTTAAATTTTATGAGTGAACTGGTAGCCAAGGTTTCTGTTGTAAGTAAAAATTTTATGCCATAATACACGGGTTCATATATCATACCACTGGTTTTATAATCAGTAAGTTCAAAGTCCCCACTATTCCCAGAGTGGTGGTGGCCTGTGAGTTACATTAAACAGGAGAATCTGTAAATGCAGATATATAAAGGGAGATAACTACAAGAGTGTTATTATCAGTATCAAAGCTTAATATTTAAACTTTCATTAAAAAATCTGTGATACTTTGGATATGGCAATTTACATTACTGGTTGGAGACCACCAAAACCGGACAACCATCAAACCTGGACGGCCCAGAAAATGCTTAATTTAGTATTTTCTTTGTTCAGTGGATGTCAGTTACTTTTTTACCAACAATAAATGCATGTTTCTTCTATAATTAAGTAAATAAATTTATTTCAACCTCCGTAACTGGTAATATTTTAATGTCTATTTCAAGAATGTTGACGTTGAAATTTGGGGGCCAGGAAAGCAATGCCTGACCTCATATACCACTATAATCATTTGCAGAGTAAACTATAGAATATCCAAGACTTCAGCATTTGTTGCTGACATATTGTATATCATGTTAAAAATCAAAACACCCAAGCTTTTATCTGGATTAAATTACGTCATGTACATATCTGTCCGGACACATGGTACTGTAGTGTAGACAATTTAGGTAATTTTGATACCCTCCTTGTCGAGATATAAGTGTCAATACATTCAGAAATAAACAAACTAGTTTGTTAGTTAGGGCAAGAACCTAGCTGAACTGTGTCAAATTTTTAGGTCTCTATGTTAAAAATTATGAAATCTGTACGGAAAAATGTTCAAAAAGTGTCCGGTTGATGGTTCCCGACCGGTAGTGTTTAAAAAACTGTATGCCTCCAGATGAGCAATCACAGTTTTTAAAAAATCAAATTTTATGAAAACACTTGAAGACTTTGAGATAAGTATAAATTTTCACGATGTAAGGCTGTACCCTATTATAAATCATGTATGGGCTGTTTTTTGTCTACTTTTAGTACATTTAAGGATCTTAATAAAAATTGTTAGTGCTTTATACATTTACAGAAGTTTTCAGGTATTTTCCTAAATTTTATAGAAATAAAGATGAATCTCGTGGTGTGCCTATTGTAAGCCATATTTACTTTAAGTTGTCAGAAACTTTGGAAACCAATTCAACTTACCTATTGCACATAAAGGTTACAACTTGGTTGAAGAAGTCAAACTTGAGCCTCTGATAGGATGATTCAAAACAAAAACTGGACAATGATAAAAAGTTCATTTGGAGACTTTTGTTCAGTTTTTGATTTTCATAAATTTTCACACTTGGAACAACTTACTTTGATAATCTTTAATTACATGGTGAAGTTACTGTATTTACAGGTATGCAGCCCATGTCATTAAATTCGAGTCATGGTCATGGCCAGATGAAGTATCCTGACCAGCCAGGACATAGTGGTCACAATAGTGACACTTTCCAGGATTTTGTTTCTCTAGTGTGCCAGGAGGCCAATAATCCCTCACAGCAAGGCCAGGTTAGTGTATGGTATATAAAAAGAAGTACTGATAAAAAAATTAATGTAATAAGAATAAATGTGACACATGTATATATGTAAGGACTTATTGTTTGCTGTCTGTCACATAAGACAAGCAAAACACACAAGACAAGTTTATTGTTATTTCAAGTCAATTTTTTTCAGTTACTGTGAAGAGTAAATGCATGCCAAGATTAAAATCACAAATTACGGCATATTTTGATAATATTTATTTACATGTTATTTGTTGAATTTTATTCAAGTTGCATCAACAGTGTAATGATCATATGGTAACTTTCCAGCTTTATTGGTAGAGGAAGATCTCAGGTGCCCTTCCCTGCATTATTGCAGGCATGAGCTGGCACCTGAGTAGAACCGCTAACCTTCATAAGTTTGCTGGGTTGCTTCCATACATGAAATTATCCTTAGTCCCTGATGGGATTTGAACCAACAATGGAGATAAGCAAGTGGTTTGAAGTCAGGAAATTTAACCACTTGGCTGCTGAGGCTCTATTTTGATTTGTTTTAAACAAGCCATTTGAGCAGTAAAAACACTTTTTTAAGAAATGATTTATAATATGCTAAGAAATATCTTTTCTTTTACAGTCAACGCCTCCCTCGCCACCTGGGAAGAGCTCAAGCAAGATGCCTCACTATTACACCCCGGGGATGTTACCCCCACCCCCTCCTCCTCCCACACTGGCTCGTCCGGTCGCAATACTGAGAACGTCAGATGGGACAGTTATCAGTACTAACAGTTCTACTTCAATGTCAAGTTTGTACATTCTATAAATTTATAGAAAGATATATATTTATATCACCACTGAAATATTCATGTACAATGTACAATAAAAATTTCATAAACTTTACAGTTGCATTGTTTCATATTCTAATGGTTATATTTGAGAAAATATAAACAAAATGTATCTGCTATTTAATGTACATGATTTATATAGAAGGAAACAAAATTTAAAGTAGGTAAAGGGATGATTTGGCATAAGCTCCACATACTTTATCAGAAATTTAAAAACACATAAACATAATTTCCCAAATTAAGTTCCTTGATTTAATATTGTTTCATAAAACTTAAGTAAAAAAAAGTAAAGACTTCCAATATTATTTGTGACAGTTTCTATAAAATGGACTAAAATTGTATAACATGATGATTTTAGGCTCCAGTATTAGCAGCAGTGTTGGTCAGGTAGTGAGTAATTCGCCTGGTACCCCACCAGCCAACAGATCTATAATGTCTAGTCCTTTCTCAGTGCTACAGAGGCCGGAACACGGCTTTGCACATATACACCCACAGGGGCATCAGGTACTTGTTTTCTATATAATCAGTAGATAAATATATATTAACTTATTCTTATAGGCCCATAAAGCATCAAATATGCAATTTTTTTCTATTTTTCAAAAGCTCTATAGATTGGAAGTAGTTGACCATTTAATGTTAGCTGCTTTAAACAAAGTCAGGTCTGAAAAATGATTGGTTAATGGAAAATCTGACTTGTATTTACTCATAACCTGTTGACAGCAACTAAATCTACCCATTCCACCAGTGCAGACCAAGATCAAATTGCACTGTCCACTTTACAGTTGACAAATATTTTGAAAATTTCACTTAAATGATGAATGGTTTTGACCATATTTAACAATGGACAAGTCCATTTATAGTATGTTGAGTTGTAAGAGTTAAAACATATGTTATCTTTAGTACAGTAGTTGCCGTTAGTATGAGGTTAGGATCTAACCACACTATAAGCTGTCCTCCATATTGTCTGCAGACCATGTTCTTATTTTGATATTAGCCTACTTAATGAATGGAGGATGCTGAGTAATTTTAAGTAATTCAGACTCTAGATTTCATATAATATAATGAAAAACTAACTGGCACATATTTGTATTTCAGTTATTCTCGTATCCAAATATCAGTCCAGTCAATGCATTCAGTGGAGTTATCAGTCCAACTACACTAAGTTTGATCTCTTCGCCCGTAGCAACGCCACGTACGACACCAAGGTCGACGCCAATACCTCGTTGGACCACTCCATTTGGAATACCGCTGGATGATAACATGGACTATAACAGTATGCTTGCCACAATGATGCATGTTAACCCTGATGAGGGTCTGATGAACGAAGGTACAAAATATAACCTCAATTAGTTATCTAAAATTCTAACCACAATATCAATTACCTATAATTCTAACTGGGTGTTATCAAACATGCCTGTAGCTGGCTTGTTTCTATGCCTGTCTTTGTTTAGTATGTTTCAGATTGATTATTCATATTGTGTGTTTGTTTTAAAAAGGAGACTTTTCTACTTATCTTGAACATGCTTTTACCAGTCGTCAAATTGTGTATACAGGTAAACGGAAGTGGTGCAAAAAATGACAGGTCAACAGCAATTTAGTTTCAGATTTGTATGTTTGTTTTTCCGGTCTGTCACCAAATTCTGTTACTATTGTTTGTCTCAAAGCAAGTCAACCACTTGTGGATATTTGGTGAAAAATAACTTGACTGTATCATAATCTTGTGTTAATGTTGTGCTTTAATGAATTTATATAAGAACTATCTGTTAAATTTTCAGATCGAATATTTCCAGTGATTCATAACTCAGAGGGTATGGATCATACTAACGGAAATAGCAACAGTAACAGTAACAACACGGGTAATGGAGGGGCGGGGCAGTCAGCTGGCCCCTCCCATGTTCCACCCCCCTCTCACCAGGGGCCTGCTACACCAGGGCCACCAACACCAAAACAGCCAGCACAGGGTCAACAGCAAGGCACCTGACAATCACAGTAATGGTGTAGCCACTAGGGGGCAGGACAGTCAAACTGTAGGGGGTGGGGCTAATTGTCACAGGGGTGGGGTTAATTATCACCATGATGTTTAAACAATACACCAATCAAATCTGAAATATCAAGACTATATTTTATCATCATGGTTTTTGCTGCAATGTCTAGTATTATGAAACAAAGTTTTACTTATTTATTTTTTGTTTTGATAAATATTGAATGCAAATAAATATACTCATGTATTTTAGGAAGTTAATTAAGTTTATTTTTGTATCTTTTATTTAAAAAACGATGGATTTGTCAATGGAATTCGCATTCAACAAATAAGTGGTTGTTTGTGCAGATTTTTATTTGAACACACAATATAATAGACCATGTAAAAATTATGTCTTAAATTTGTTGTTATCATCATCATGGTGTGTTTTATTGTGGGTGGGGTACATAAAAATTGAGATTGTGCACAATGAAGTGCTGTGAAAGGCTGTGATAGATTAACCATTGTTGTTATTATTTATTTTTTATTATTTTTCTTCCCCTTTCTTAATAATGAAAGCCTAAGGTCAGTTGACAGTTTTTTCTTCTCTTATTTATATTGTTACTTTGTTTTATTTCTTTCTTGCAATTGGATTTAACAAGAGCATTTGAATGATTTAGAGATCAGAGGTTGATTTAGTATTTTGTTAAGTGTATAATTATATTTGGTAAGACTAGAGGTGATTTATTCATATATTTGCATGCATTGTTACAAGCTGTAGGAATAAGGCATATTGTTTTAGCTTCATATATGCATATTACTATACGATCATGCCCTAAACAAGTTGTAACATTCTACAGATTTAAACAATTTTGATGACTGAAAAAGATGAGACAGTATGCACCCCAAAAATAACTTTATAGAAATTTAAATGATACTGTTTACTGAGTTGAGTTAAGTGTTATTTATTCACATTTTCCTTTTATTTTAATATTGTATAAAATTATATTACTTAAATGTGCAAAATTTGTATTACTGTCCTGTGAAAGAATATGACAAAAAAAAGTTGATGCTTTTCACGTGAAGATGAGATCTTGGTGCACATATTTTCTTTCCATAAATTTTTGAAAAACAGTACAGTAAACAATGTATACTTTTGTACTCAGTTTTCAGTATCATATAAATTGTTACATTCAAATAATAAAAATGTTATTTGTTTACAAGTTTTGCACTGAAACCATTTTATTTGTTGATGTTCAACATACTTAACTATGCAAAAGCAATTTAATAACCAGTTTATTTTCTGTAACTTTTCTTTTTTCATTGATTCAAATAAGATTGTATCCAGAGGAAAAGAACATTTTTCTTGAAACATGTTTTGCCTGTAAGGATTTTTTCTTATTCAAGCAAATGTAGCTGTAAGTAAATAACGATTTTTTCTAAAAAGTCATCATATTCTATCGATACACCAATTTAATGTTTAACTAACAATATTAATAACCACCTCCCTCTTAAATCTGTATATTGGACTTGACCTCTTTTAAGTTTGGAACTTTTCATTGATATTTGAAGGTGTTTTAATATTAAACTCTTCTAATTAAGCAGTCCGGACAGCAGCAATTTGAAATAAAGATATTGAAATCCCTTTATATTGAAATGGACAGTTCCATATAAAAAAACAGGGCAAACCCATTACACAAATTCAGGGTGGTTAGTGTTTTGATAATATGATGACTGTATTAAGTAGATCAATTAACACATTTATACATTTTCAAAATCAACACATCCTGTACTATGCATAAAATATGCACATTGTGAATGTCTTATGTTACACAAACATGTTATGTATACACATATGTATGTCATATTTCTCATTGTTTTGTTAGGGAGAAAGAAAATGAACGACTTTGATGATTTTCTTAATGTCTGTTTCTGTTTGCTAACTTCTATACAATTTGCACAACTGCTGGGATAGAGCAACGTTACAGTAAAGGTTTTGGTATGTTGCTTGAATAAATTACATTTAATAATAAAGCAGACGCGCATACAAAAATATTAATGAAACACCTGGTGCCTTAATTGACACACTTTTATTTAAAGTCTTTTCAAAAAAGAAAATTGGTGTAAGATGATTGGGTAAAGAATATTTGAATCAATCAAGTTTTAGTTGATACAAAAAGATAGAAGTTATAGTGTAACTGTTATAACATTTTTGAAAAAAATAGTAAGGGCTATGAACCTTTCAGTTCAGGTTAAAGCCACACCTAACGAGCCAATGGTTTAAAGTTACTTGACCCTAGTCAGCGGTATGTTTAAAGTTGAAAACTTCAAGTCATTTGATCCTAATGAATAATAATCCTAATAATTTATTGAATGCTATTTATTTTATGTCCATGACCATGCTATTGTTAAATTGCATTTGGTTAGATTGCACTAGGTTAGATTTTTACTTGAAAGATGCATCCATTTGTCTTAAATGCTCTAACGTAATACAAACATCCGGCAAAAAATGTACGCTAGGCCTCTGAATACAATGTCTTGTGTGAGACTTTGAAATCATTAATTGATTTGAACTTTAACCTGTAGATATGATTAATAAATAGTTTAATGTTATAGATGTTATGCCTCTGAAAACAGAATTTATATCATCTTGGTAGCCATTCTGACATCATAATGTAGTAAGGGTTAAATATATTAGAGATCTTGATCGGATACCAAGATCTGGACTGGGAACCAGTGATAAAACTCAGCTGTCTGATTGGGTAATTCTTTGATATCGGCCAATCATCAGTGTGATTTCTGACACTGGTTCCTATTTGCAGTTTTATAAAGTAGTTAGTACGCTTCAATATTACATTTTATTGTGAGAAAACAATTTGGAAAAGAAAAATAAAAAAAAATCATCAGGGTTTTTATGCAGTTCTTTTCTACAAAAAATCGGTGTTGTGTGAATAAAATCTACCTCATTATCATGTGTATAGAAAGTTGAATAAACCACTTGTGATGAATAGTTAAAGCTTGGATCAAAGTATTGTACAAGATATGCAAACACATTTTCATATTTGAATTTGTTAACTATCGTTGTCTTAGGGACTGATAGATTTGTTTCAAATTATTTTTTTTCCACCAATTTGCAGTTGTTAATTATGAGTTAGTTTCATTTTCAATTGCTTTTTTCACCAGCTTGCAGTAACAGTTGTTTATGTTTATGAATTTAGTTAATGGTATTTCTGTGTAATGTTTTATACTGATTGAGACAGTTGTTTGCGACATTGTAGTAAAAACACAATGAGTTGCTGTTTATTTTAATGACAACAAGAACATGACATAGAATTGACAGGCTTCTCACAGGTCAATAGTATGTCACTGCAGGGTGGTTAAGAAAAGAAAAATGATAGTTTTCCAAGCATTTGTACAGTGATACCCAAGATGTCTTTGTGGTGTAAATGATAGTTATTTAAACTAAATTGTTCACATATCAATTCTAAGTTTTATAGATTAAAAAAACAACAACAACTAAACACTTATAATAGCAAATATGCCTCTAAGATGCACTTGTTAACAAATCAAAAAAGCTAGATGAAATAACTGATATCCAAAAAGCATATTTCTCATTTCAAAATGTTGATCAGGAATATTTTCAACAAAATACTTTGGTGTTTGTTGTTTTTGTTTAGTAAAGATGTTCTGAAAATTAAGTAGAAAATCAGAATTTTTACAGGCATTGTGTAACATATGCTTCATTTATTTTGAAACTGCAATAAAAAGTGAATGTAAGTGTAGTATTATAAACAATGATAAGTCTCAGGTAATTATAACTGCTGAGATGTTGATTTTTACCTTTACTGTGATGTCATCATGTTTAAAAATAGATATTACAAAATATCTGTGAAGATTGCCAAGGAAAAAACAACAAGTATAGGTTAGAGTGCATATTGGGTGTTCTTCGTAAATAAGAAAGCTAAAAAGGAGCGAAGCTTGCGAAGCGACTGTAGCTTTCCTGAAAATTTGAAAAATCCTCGTCGGTGATTGGCTTAAAAAAATTGGCGAGCACTAATATATGTCATGGTATAAATCTAAAAATAGACATGAAATAAACATTCGGTAAAACAGATTTGAAACTAAAATAGATATGAAATAAATTTTTGGTATTTATTTGGTATTATACAAATTTAAAAATTGATATGAAATAAACATATGGTTTTATACAAATCTAAAAATAGAAATGAAATAAATATTGCAGATGGTACAAATCAATTCTATGAAATAATGGTATTTTAAAGTAAGAGTGTCAAAAATTTATAAAGAAAATGAGCATGGGTTGATAATGCTTGGTAGCAAATTAAGCAAATGTCATGGTTTTAAACTCAATTGGAAGTAATTTCATGTCATATTTGATTATTAATTGTTGCAGAAAATATTTTTGCAAGTCACAGATAAAAGTTTTTGATTATCTATTTTAATACATTATAAAGAAAAACCACATTGTTTTTTTCCCTCTTTTTAAGTTCTTTTGAAGTTGTTAAAGATATTTTTTTAAAGATTTTTTTCTCTTTATTTTTCTTTCTTCATTTAATGCATTTTTTGTTTGTGTCCATTATTTATTATTTGCGTGTGTTGTGTGATCACAAGATTTCCGAATAGGTGCCAAAATTAGATGTAGATCTTATAATTGTTTTCTTATGTATAAACTCTTTGCATTTCACTTTTTTTCTCTTATATAAATAAACTATTGAAGGGTTATATTAACCTTTGTCCTTGAAGGATTTCTTCTAATTTGTAGGTCAACACAATTAGTGTGATTCAGGGATTATGGTGTAAGATCTGAAATAAGTCATGAAATAAACAACAAGAAAAAATAAGTAACATCAGCTACCAAAAAAAAAAGAAAAGTCTTTTTTACTTGTGATGAAGATGATTTATGACTGTGAATTGTAAAACAGATAAAAACAATATAATTAGATTGTTTACTATGCCATTATGTCAACCTTTTCTAATATGTCTCCTTGATAGAAGAAAACAAATTTAGAAATTAAGTTCTACTTGATATGTAGACATATACATACATTTTTCTCTTGTTACTGTAAAAGGGTATATTTTTGACATCAATGATCCATTTTTCTGCAAAATTACTTATGAAATAGTTTCTAGAAAAAATGTTAAAAAAAAAACAACATGATTTACAAAGAAGAAAAAAAAAGTGTCTTAAAAGACTGTTTATGTATATAAATCTCTGTGGAGCGGAGAGTTGGTAGTTGTAGACTGTAGAGTAGAAAATTAGCGTATTTTTAAAACAAGTTTCATTATCTTCTCTTTTTTAATCCATTTTTTTTATTGTGAAATTCTTATTTTCTATTAAACAGAAAAACAACAACCAATACATTATAAACTGACTTACATGTGTAATCATTTTGTCACTATGTACATGTATACCAGCCCTGTTATTTCTGTAGCAAAATTATCAATCAAGATGGAATATTTGATTTGTATTAGTTATTTATTTATTTTTTCTTCATGAAAACAAAATAAATATGTAATCATTAACTGTTGTACTTTTTCTTGCCAACTGTATTTATTTCAGCATATTTATTAAATTTCAATTGTGAAACAAATTTCTGTTATGTAAATTACTTTTGAGCTGTATTGTTAATTTTCAAACTAGAATATATGTAGGATGTAGGACAAAAGAATTGAAACAAATAATAAGAAATTTTTTTTATGTTTTCTTAAAGATTCTTTAATTTTGAAACAATTTCAAGTTAATTCCCCTTTTAAAGCAGTGTCTTTTAAATCTATTTAGAAAGACCATGTTTAATGAAAGCATATTTTTTTTGTAAACACATCATAACTTTAATCATCCGAAAATGAATACCTGTGTCATTTTCCATTTGTAAAAATCTGTAACCCTTAAGATTTCAGTAAATCTGCATCACTTGAGTTAAAGAACAAGAACATCTGTGTACTTCACAATTCAAGTTACATTCACCTTTGAATGAATAAACCTTGAGTTACAGCCCCTTACTGGAACATACAATTAGCAGGCTTTTTACTTATATGGAGGTAGAAACAACGAAAAAAATACCAAGTGATTCTTATATCCCCCTCCCAGTTATTTTCTCTACATGATATTCAGTTACCTGTTGTTAACTATATAGTCACTATCTAAAAGATACTGTAGCAAGCATTTGCACTCTCAAACATTTTTTGTCAGCCTGGCTTGTTATTCCTCTGTTTAAAGTTTACAAATATCTTTAAATATTTTGTATCACTGCAGAATGCTATTTAACCAGTTGTTTATGTATAATATCTCACATGTAGTAGTAACTAAAAACCAGGGCAATGATTTTTTTTAAGATGTCCACTTCGTTTTTCTTTTCTTTTTTTCGTTACTTTATTATATATTTTTGTCAATGTGATTTTTTTTTGTTTTCTTGTGTACAGTACAGCTATGTATATATGCTTTTAATTATTGTATATAATGTAAATAGAGACCGTTGTTTTTGTATACATAGAAAATAATTTATTATTGGAAAAAACATTGTAAACGTTGATGATGTGTAATGGAACCACGTTACCGTGCTTACCAAGCTAGTGTTTTGGTTGCTATGGTAACAGAGATTGAATTATTTTGTTTTTTTTTTTGTTTTCTTTTTTTTTGTGAAAGTATCAAAATGACATCTGTGATGTGAAATGCTTGAGTGACTTCAGTTAGAACATGAATCTTAAAAAAGATTACATGAATCGTATTAAAATGCTTTTCTGGTTGATATAAACAAAGCTTAGAAAGGGAAAAATATCGTCCCAAGGTTTCCATAGAAATCATCAGGCAATTGGCAATGTTTGAAGCTTTTGCAATGAATTTACTGGTTATATATATATTCAAAGTGTTGTAAAGTTTGTGTAAGAAAACAATAGAATTTATTGAGAAAATTTATTTAAGGAATGCAGGAATGATGACAATGGAGAAAACCACTAAGCTATATAATAATTTATGTCTTCCATGTACAATTAATCTTAATTTTACCATCTGGAGTCTACAGGATTCTGTAAAAATAATTCTAATTCTTTACATTTGACATATTAAATTTAACATCTTAAGTTATTTGATTCAATTGAAATAAAGTTTTCTTACTTTATTTTTTACTAAAGCAAATTGTTAGTTTCCTTTTCCTGACATAGTAATCAAGTATCTTTGTTGATAGTGAAAACAGGACTGATGGTGTTATATCCATGGATTTACTATAAAATTTTGCATCCATAAGTCAGGTCATTGCTCCAATCCATGGATGATGTGTGGACATGTCAAAATCCATTTATATTATATTGATAATCTAAATCCAGGTTTTAACTTATAAATTTGAAGTTTTGGTATCCTGTCAGATTTGACAATGTTTGAATCCATAAATCATATTTGACAATTTTTTGTATCCATTTTCTTTTCCATGGATAAGAATGAAAATCTGAATCCATGGGCCTGACAGTAAGCTTTAAATCCTTGGCCAAGTATGAAAATTTAAATCTTTTTGGAGTTATGTACTTGTGAAAACATGGTCAGTTTTTTCAATTTTTATTAAGCCACAAATTTTAAATGCTTTTCTCTGATTTCTTGCAGCTTTTCTTTTTTCGAAAGCTAATGGTATATGTTTTGTGTAATATTCAGAGGATATCTATCGTCTTGATTTTTTAACACTTGTTCTGATATGTATAAGTTGCTAGGAAGGGATAAAGACTTGATTTGGATCTGAATCTGAGGTCAATATTTGTGTTTGTTGTTTTTATATATTTATTGCATTTCATAAAAAATGTTGCCTTATTACTATAGACAGGAGTCTTTCAGTATTATGCAGTTTGATATGTTTT